AGCGTAGCATGTCCATTCGGAGGCACCAGTCAAAAACACATGCAAAGACAAGTCAATTGTTCAACTAAATGAAATACGGGAACATATGGTTGGGTGTTTGGTTGGTTTGTTGTTTAACGCCGCACTCAGCAATATTCCAGCTATATGACGGCAGTCTGTAAATAATCGAGTCTGGACCAGACAATCCAGTGATTAATATCATGAGCATCGATCCACGCGATTGGGACCGATGACATGCATCAACCAAGTCAGCGAGCCTGACCACCCGATCCCGTAAGTCGCCTTTTACGACAAGCATAGTCGCCTTTTACGGCAAGCATGGGTTGCTGAAGACCTATTCTACCCCGGAATCTTCACGGGTCGGGAACATATGGTACAAGTCACAATAGGGAATTGCATCGGGCATCCTTTGTGTCGGTGATGCGTCAAATTTGGAACTGCCCTCCACGTGTACCATAAACAATTTTGAAAGCTCTGATTAGGTAATTACAACTACTAATTGAGATAGACCGCCTCCGTGGTCTAGTGGTAGAGCGTCCGCCCGGAGAGCGGAAGGTCCAGGGTTCGATCCCGGGCCGCGTCATACAAAAAGACGTTAAAAGATTGTACTTGTTGTTACCCTGTCTGGCGCTTGGCATTAAGGGGCTAAAACAAGGACTGGTCGGCTCGGAGTCAGTATGCTGTGTCTGAGTGGGGTATTCATGTTAAACTGCGGCATGGTATCTCAGTGAGCTAGCACTATAAATCGGCATCAGTCCGGACTAGTACAAGCAGCCACACACACACATACACGTGCATGCACGTCGCTATATAAGTGCAATAATCTTGGACGCGACGTTAAACCCAATTTCACCTCACCTGATCACTAATTGCGATAACAATGTAAGAGCGACATGAGTATCGATACTTCAGTTTGCATCTACATGACTTTGGTAAAGCTGATAGTCATTGAATGACATTGTTTGGCAGTAACTTCACATCTGCCCTTTGCTGCACATTGGTCTTTGTATACTACTGCCAGTTCATTTTATGATAATGTGTGGAGTGAATGAATAAGGAGATAAACCTACCGTGTTTTGAAATTTGATGTAGTCCCACAGTAGAGTAGATAGCTCTTATTTACATTTGGAACCGAGTGCTTTAACGTGACGTTTCAAATGTACAGATAAGAGGTATCTACTCTACTGTGGGACTACTTCAAATTTCAAAACACAGTATGGTTATTTCCATTTTACCATGACGGCAAAAATGCTTTGAAAATTGTGCTCACTTGCAACGCGTAACCTCAAAGGGTACAAAGGTCTCAATCTTAGAACATTCCGAAAAGTGGTCACATTTAGTATCTAACAAATATTACTAAAGTTTAACATCAAAATAGTTGTTCAAGTGTTCAAAACACAAAGTTTTTCTAAAAGAAGTTTACAAATAACCCCCAAACTTAGTCCAAAGATAGATGGTTTAATTTCATCGCAACCGGTTGTGCACTGTTTAGACTCACCAAGTCATTTCTTGGAATTCAGCGAGAAGTCATTTCTTGGAAATCGAATTTGCCATTTCAATTGGAGGGGTGACAGGTTGTAGAAATATTTTTTCAAATGTAAAACGAATATATTTCTCCATCAAACTTTATGAAATAACGTTCTACTATTTATTTACATGTCTGAGTTTTATTAGTTAGTAGCAATTAAGTAAATAATTTAAAAAAAAACACATAAAAATATATGCCTCTCACCCCCCGAAAATTGGATGTGGCAGAATTTGACCTACATCACGGATACTCACACCTCACAACTGTCAATGAGTGACACTGCTGTTACATTCTTAGAAGAGTTACACGAAGGAAGATGACAACCATGATCTATGATGTGTACAATGTGATTACCAATGGAACTTTGTATGACGGAACATACGCTTTTTAGGCTGCAGACGAGCCGAATATTTTGACAAGGGGAATCTGCATGATTTGACCTGTCAATTTCAGATTTCACGGATTCAAAGCCAGCCTGTGAAAACAATGAGACATTTGTTGCCAAGAAATACATGTAGTGGTTGGTGTATGATTTTCTTAATTGTGTCTGTTCTGAAATGAATTTCATGAAGTTTGATAAGCTGTGACTTCGGAGATGTCGGGACATTGTTTTCGTGGCCTTTTCGGTTTAAACATGTTTTTTTCCAAAAGTTTGAAAATGGATTGGTAAACAAGCGAAGCGCTTATGTCCGCTCCATTTTACATAGGGCATATTACAATGAATACATAAATGAAGGTTAGATGTAACAAATAAATTGTACATGCGAAGCTAGATGTGTATATATAATAAATATATTTGCAGTTTATTTTAAACAATCATTTAACTGAAAATCTGCCAGTTTTTAAGATAAAGTGGCCTTTTCGAAGGGACTCGTGTTTTCTGATGGACTTTCAAATCCCCTCCTGTCAAATCCTTACCGTGGTGGTAGACGGAGATGACAATGAATATCGATCACAAAAAGGTTTGTAAACAACATGTTGTCACGAATAAAGTTTCTTCAAGCACATTTTTATAATGTTATATTTTACTTTCATTGTCGGTTGTTGCCATGACGAAATTGCCTGTTCTGAGTCTGTTCGCCATCGAACATGTCCCTAACAGTTTCATAAACATTTCATTTGTACGCAGAATATATGCCTTCGTAAAGTCATGCAATCTCATCTTTGAAGCAGTCAGGGTTACGGACTAAAAGATCATATCGTCGCCAAAAACATCCGATATCAAACTACCGTATTTCCTCTATTACACGCTAGGCCGTCTATTAATTTCGCGAGAGCCGTTGACTCAGCGTAAGTTAGAGACCTGGCTTGTATTAGAGACACAACGTGTAATAAAGGAAATATCAATATGTTTATCAGTGATCGGTGATCGATCGGCAGCCATTTTGTATGAATCAGTATGTAGGCTATTAATGTATTCATGCGCATATATTTTGTATGAAAGGCTTAATATATTAAAAAGGGGTTTCCGTAGCTAAAAGGAAACCTCTTTTTAACCAATTAGAATGCAGCATTCTTCAATGTCATGGTAGAAAGTTGTTTAACGCCACAATCAGCAATATTCTCACTCAATCACGCAGCCTGTCACTGGTCAGCCCATTATCCCTGACATGAGATCATCCTAGTAGACAACGGTTACGATTATAGCGATACCAGGCGCGAGATGCAAACTTTATACCTTCCTTGAAAGCGTTTCTCTTTAACCATACACTTTGCTCTTATCAATATCGCATGGACTGAATACGGTGGGTTCCGGCGGAACACAGATTACACAGGTTATTCACACCGAGTGAAAACAAGGCAACTCAGAGTGTTTACACACCTAGTGAAAACAAGACAAAACAAGAGTGTTTTAACACCGAGTGAAAACAAGGCAACTCAAACATACCTAGTGAAAACAAGACAAAACAAGAGTGTTTTCACACCTAGTGAAAACAAGGCAACCCAAGACTGTTTACACACCGAGTGAAAACAAGGCAACCCAAGAGTGTTTACACACCGAGTGAAAACAAAGCAACCCAAGACTGTTTACACACCGAGTGAAAACAAGGCAACACAAGAGTGTTTACACACCGAGTGAAAACAAGGCAACACAAGAGTGATCACACACCGAGTGAAAACAAGGCAACCCAAGAGTGTTTACACACCGAGTGAAAACAAGGCAACCCAAGAGTGTTTACACACCGAGTGAAAACAAGGCAACCCAAGAGTGTTTTCACACCGAGTGAAAACAAGTCAACCCAAGAGTGTTTACACACCGAGTGAAAACAAGGCAACCCAAGAGTGTTTACACACCGAGTGAAGACAAGTCAACCCAAGAGTGTTTACACACCGAGTGAAAACAAGGCAGCCCAAGAGTGTTTTCACACCGAGTGAAAACAAGGCAACACAAGAGAGTTTACATACCGAGTGAAAACAAGGCAACCCAAGAGTGTTTACACACCGAGTGAAAACAAGGCAACACAAGAGTGTTTTCACACCGAGTGAAAACAAGGCAACCCAAGAGTGTTTACACACCGAGTGAAGACAAGTCAACCCAAGAGTGTTTACATACCGAGTGAAAACAAGGCAACCCAAGAGTGTTTACACACCGAATGAAAACAAGTCAACACAAGAGTGTTTACATACCGAGTGAAAACAAGGCAACACAAGAGTAATCCATGAAAAGGACACCTGCCAGCCTCAGTTTACGAGGAAAGTAGGACATCACAAACATTGAAACAAAAACAATACTTATTCCCAAGAGGATGGTTTGGAAACACTACACGATATAAACAACAGCTTAATTAAAATACGTTCTGAATAAAGATAATTCAAGCTTTTTGTAATGTGAGCTGGAACCTAGTTAAATATTTACCATATGGGAAACATTGGACCACGCTTGGTCCATTCGACCATGATGCCTTTAGGACACGTTCAGTTGATTGATCGTCATTTCGACGCTGGAATAATCCCAACGCGGCTGTTTCAGACAACAGGTAGGGTTTTTGAAAAAAAATATTTATGAAAATGTTTTTAGCTTCTTTATCAATAACATACTTTATAAACTTATGGTGACTCATACCGAGAGGTACAAGTAAAAGTACATGCTTACATTTGCTTAAAGTCTCCGGGTATTTGTAATTGTCATTAACGTGTTATGTCACGGAGCTGTGTTCTGGAGGCCAGGGTGTCATTAAACAAAAATGGAGAATTAATTAAAACGTGTTATTTGTTTCACATATTTATTATTATCAGCTAGTTGTAAGCATAGATGACAATAAAACGGACCCAAAACCCAATTTACCTTGACAACGATCACTGAGTGATTAAACCAGAACAAGTTGATTAATTAAGCAGCTGTATAATAGTAATAAAAAGAGAGTAGCTAAACCCAATTTCATCTCACCTCACCTCTACTTTTGCAGATGTGATGAATCTGGTTCTCTCCATTGGAGTGGTTTTAACCCATGTTATTGACCCCGATCTTTAGCTGAGTGTGTTCGACTGTGTTTCTACTCAACAAACTGTGCCTCTTTTTTCTACAATCACGACGAGCTGCTGTGTCATAGAAGCAGTATGCTATACACGGCTGTGGCTGGCCACAAGCTCACAGCCAAGACAAATGTCAACTGTTATCAGTGGAGGCATGGTAGGTATTAAAACACGTACAGTATATATATGAATACCTTCTCACAAAGTTATGTCTGGCCACAAGCTAATAGATAAGTCAAATGGCAACTGACACATGTCAACTATATATATGAATCCCTTCTCACAAAGTTATGTCTGGCCACTAGCTAATAGTTAAGACAAATGGCAACTGACACATGTCCACTATATATATGAATCCCTTCTCACAAAGTTATGTCTGGCCACTAGCTAATAGTTAAGACAAATGGCAACTGACACATGTCAACTATATATATGAATCCCTTCTCACAAAGATATGTCTGGCCACTAGCTAATAGTTAAGACAAATGGCAACTGACACATGTTCACTATATATATGAATACCTCCTCAAAGAGTTATGTCTGGCCACTAGCTAATAGATAAGTCAAATGGCAACTGACACATGTCCACTATATATATGAATACCTCCTCAAAGAGTTATGTCTGGCAACTAGCTAATAGTTAAGACAAATGGCAATTGACACATGTCCACTATATATATGAATACCTCCTCAAAGAGTTATGTCTGGCAACTAGCTAATAGTTAAGACAAATGGCAATTGACACATGTCCACTATATATATGAATACCTCCTCAAAGAGTTATGTCTGGCCACTAGCTAATAGTTAAGACAAATGGCAATTGACACATGTCCACTATATATATGAATACCTCATCAAAGAGTTATGTCTGGCAACTAGCTAATAGTTAAGACAAATGGCAACTGACACATGTCCACTATATATATATGAATACCTCCTCAAAGAGTTATGTCTGGCAACTAGCTAATAGTTAAGACAAATGGCAATTGACACATGTCCACTATATATATGAATACCTCCTCAAAGAGTTATGTCTGGCAACTAGCTAATAGTTAAGACAAATGGCAACTGACACATGTCAAATATATATATGAATACCTTCTCAAAGAGTTATGTCTGGCCACTAGCTAATAGTTAAGACAAATGGCAACTGACACATGTCCACTATATATATGAATACCTCCTCAAAGAGTTATGTCTGGCAACTAGCTAATAGTTAAGACAAATGGCAACTGACACATGTCCACTATATATATATGAATACCTCCTCAAAGAGTTATGTCTGGCAACTAGCTAATAGTTAAGACAAATGGCAACTGACACATGTCAAATATATATATGAATACCTTCTCAAAGAGTTGTCTTGCAACTACCTAATAGAAAGAGACAAATGACAACTGACACATGTTCACTATATATATGAATACCTTCTCACAGAGTTGTGTCTTGCCACTAGCTTAATAGTTAAGTCAAATGTCAACTGGTATCAGTAGAGCCTTCTAGTTATTGACAAATGGACAGTATATGTATAACCACTATATATTTATAGGATATTTAACAAGCTTCCAATTCATATCAGGTTTTCAATTCAGCCTGTAATGTATACTATTTAGAGTCTATTAGCAGCGATGATTGTTAATCACATAATTACACCACGTCAATGTGTCTTTATAATGAATGCAAAGTGCGTATGAATACAATTTCAAAACTGTAAATATAGAGCCGCGTCACTTCCGGCATACATACGAGTACTGTTACAAGGGGATATCTAAGTTGAAACGCAAACGTCAACCCCGAAATCGGCACGTACAGAAAATAAGTTTTGTAATCAGTAATTGACCACACAAGGTTAATGAATAATCAATACATTATATGGGAGGTTTACAATTTTAGGTTAACAATAAAAAGGGCGATACAATGGGTCAAGTAAGTGGCATCGCTAGTAAGTAACACACCTTAGAATTAATGTATGTACACTTGCGGACTTTCAGGATATTGTCACTGTTGAATGTCTTGGAACAGTCTTGTCTCAGTGCTTGAATCAGGATTAGTTTTGGAAGCTGGCAAGAATTCGGTATTCCAGATATGTCTCCAAACCGCACTTGACAAGTATATAAGAAACAAGTCAGATCGGCAAAACATAACATCAATGCCTACTATATATAGAGGCTGCTGAATTATTTTGGACAGTAAAGCTAAAGGCAAACTTTTGTCACAAAACAGACAGACTGTCACAACAGACTCAAAATTTTATTCCATTTTTTAGACTTAACTTATCTGTATCGATAAACAAAACCTTATACATTTACATGACTGACATAACTTAATCTGCCGCGGCGGACGCTTTGCAAGCAATTAATGCCTTTCTCTTGGGTCGGCATACTAAGGTATTGATTGTGTGTTCACGGAGCGCGCTCGTTTAGAAGTCCCATGTAAATCCACAAGCTGCAAGAATATGTCTGAATATGACCGCAACTGCGCTGGCGCACTGTTTATTTTTAAAACCAAATCCGCGTCATTTTGATACCCCCGGGATATCATATCAATATGTAGCGCTCTTTCTTGACACATTGACCAGTCATGTCAAACGTCAAGGTCATCCTTGAGCCAAGGTCTAGGTCATTATGTTCGTAACAAATAAAGGTGTGTTTACTGCAACAAGATGACATCATCCATAGCTCAGGGCATTGTATTACTGATTATTTGCAGGCCGCTGTCATACAGCTTCAATATTGTTGACGGGGCGGTCGGGTAGCCTGGTGGTTAAAGCGTTCGCTCGTCACGCCGAAGACCCGGGTTCGATTCCCGACATGGGTACAATGTGTGAGGCCCATTTCTGGTGTCCCCCGCCGTGATATTGCTGGACTATTGCTAAAAGCGGCGTAAAACCATACTCACTCATTCACTCACTCAATATTGTTGACTGCTGCATTCAACAGAACAACTACACAAACATCGAATTATTATTTCAGATGAATGTCCCTCCCAGTGGACATATTCCAAGCCGACTGGGTTATGCCTTCGATTGTTCAGTCCATCAGCATCCAATACAGACGCTAGACAGACATGTGTGGAAAATGGCGGAAGACTCGTGAACATCCAGAATTTTAAAGAAAACATCCTTATCCGAGACATTATGTTGGAAAATGGTAAATATCATAAGTCCACTTGATATTTTTGGGGGGATTGGGATGGATTTTGTCCCCGAAAACCCTGGAAAGAAATAATTATGCTCAAACTGTTGAAAACAAAGAAGCTTACAGAAAATTCGGACTCCGTATACTGTGTCTGAACTGCGGCATGGTATCTCAGTGAGCTAGCACTATAAATCGGCATCAGTCCGGACTAGTACAAGCAGCCACACAAACACATACACGTGCATGCAGGTCGCTATATAAGTGCAATAGTCTTGGACGCGACGTTAAATCCCATTTCACCTCACCTCACCTAACATATGCAAGGATGACAAGATCGTTTGTTTGAATCGTAAGAATTGCCCTCTCTATGATCATTTGGTTACGCAAGAGAGGCGTGTGTGTGTGTGTGTGTGTGTGTGTGTGTGTGTGTGTGTGTGTGTGTGTGTGTGTGTGTGTGTGTGTGTGTGTGTGTGAGAGAGAGAGAGTTTGAGTGTGTGTGTGTGTGTTGTTTAACGTTGCACTCAGCAACATTCCAGCTATATAACGTAATTCTAATCTAACCCGGACTATGTTTCAGATGGCGGCCTACACATCGGTTTAAAAAAGACGTCTACAGGGTGGCAATGGCACCTGGGCGAGGCGCTTGGCGCCTTCAACTCCTGGAAAAACGGCCACCCCAAGTCTGGATCCTGTGTTGTAATGAGCATAGTTACCCGTGGCTGGTTCACAGATTTGTGTGCCAATAAACGGAAATATCTATGCGAAATCGTCCTAGACAACCCTTACGGTGATTGCTAAGAACACGGAGGAGGAGAAGAAGGGAAAGAAGAAGCATATTGTGACCATTTAACACTTTTGTCAAGCAGTATGGAATTACAAATAATCTCGTAACAAGATTTAAAAAAAGTAACTTTGTTACAAACCCTATTTGGAGTAGGAGCTTAAGAGATTGGAAACTGAAAATAAGTGTTTCGCGTGTAAAAAATATGAACTTGTTGATTGATTCCGTCTGTGCTTCATAAGCACTTACTTCAGATTCTTCCTCTGTACGACAAGGTTTAATGAACATAATACTTCTCATCTTCAATGAATTAAGAAAATCTATTGGATGTTGACTTTTCATGAATACTTCCTCATGGATGACTGTGTAGTAGTGAGAAGGCTGATAAATTAGCAAGAACTGCATCAGAACTTGACAAGTCGGGAGGTCGGCAATAAGCTTGTAAATGTTGCTCGCCATTTGCTGTTCTGTTGAAGATATGACTGTCGATGATCATTTCTGTGTAATGTTTAGGATTACATAAACTCCTGTCAGTGGTAAAGAGCACATTTGTATTTCACAATGCGCGCCATATATAAACAAAATCTGTACAACGGAGCATTTTTAGAAAAAAATGACAGTTGTTATAAACTGAGGGCCAAAAGAAACGTTACCAACATTAACTGATTTGCCACTTTGAAACAAAGATGCCAACCTGTTCAAAAACAGTAAAGAGCACATCTCACGAATACAGCCTTCATGTTCTCTGTCGTTCTTTGCATTTTGGGAGATATCGGTGTTTTTCTGCAAATTTTGAAAACATTCTTTCCCAAATTATCGTGCAATTTCCGGGTATAAATTAAGCACGGATCTGTTCCCTATCATTGGTTGCGATGATTAACACCAACGAACATGCCAAGACTGACCGCTGTCCAGAGGGAGAGAGCCATAGGTATGCTGCAGATTGGAGCGAAAGAGAGAGGTTGCCATTAACATGAACTTCTCCAAGATGACCATTACCAGACTGGTCGCACGTCTCCGACAGACTGGCAGAACCGCAGACATACTACGGTGTGGCAGACCAAAGGTCACGACCCCGCAGGATTACCGCTTTTTACGGGTACTTCATCTGAGGAACAGATTTCTTACTGTGACGTCATCAGCTGCCAACAGCTTAGGACATCCGGTCAGCAGACAAACAGTGACCAGACGACTACGACATTATGGTCTCCGGGCTTATCGCCCTTTCAAGGGCATGACCTTGACCCGTCAACATCGACGTGCCAGATTGACGTGGTGCAAACAAACACAGCGATGGCAACAAAGGGAATGGCGGCGAGTGCTGTTTAGTGACGAGAGCAGGTTCAAACTCTTCAAACCTGATGGGCGGACGCGAGATTATCGACGACGTAGTGAACGTACGGCTCCTTGTTGTGTCCAAGAGGTGGAACCTTACGGGGGCGGAAGTGTGATGGTCTGGGGCGGCATTTGCGGGGACGAGAAGACGGAACTTGTCAGCATCGAAGGCAATCTGACAGCACAACGCTACAATGACAATATCTTACGGCCAGTGGTTCTTGCTTTCATCCAGCGTCAACAACGGACGGTGTTCCAATAAGATAACGCCACACCCCATAAAGCCCGTATTTCTAGAGACTTCCTCAACGCCAACAACGTGACTGTCCTGCCGTGGCCAGCTCGATCACCAGATCCGTCACCCATAGAATATCTCTGGGACCAGCTGGGGCGGCGTCTTCGGAAACGTCAACATCCTCCCTTCAAGAGACAAGCGTTGATCGTTGCCCTCCGTGAGGAATGGAATCGGATACCTGCAGTCGATGTGAGGACGCTTGTCTACTCAGTTCGACGCCGCATTCGAAGATGCATTGCCGCTCATGGAGGTCATATCCCGTATTGAACGGTCTGGGCCGTCGTCACCTTAAAGTTGTAACCAATGTTGTTGATCGAATACTGGACGAATGGCCCCTTGTCAAGAAATGTCCCTGATGGAGGTCAAGGACTTTGTTGTTGAATTAGTAAATTCGCATTTTACTGTTCTGAATGAAGAATTTCTACAATACAATTGTTATTGCTGCTTCAAATTGTGTTGGTCATATTTTATCCTAGAAATATCGTTGGTAACGTTTCTTTTGGCCGTCAGTTTATAAAGTGATTGCATATATACAAGGGATGATAACTGTTTATAAGCATGATCTACAAAGATTTCAAAGAGCCTTATACTAACTTGTACAAATCTTGCTGAAAAGTGTTTAGTCAGGGTTACACCGTTCAAGGCCTCTGTAAAGCTTTCACAAAGCTTTATGGTAGTCATGTGGACAAATGTGACGGATAAGTGACAACAATGCTGTCCGAAGCAATTCCCTATTTTGATTTGTACTACATGTATATGTTCACGTCTTTTTTTCAGGTGAACAATTGCCTTGCCTTTGTATGTGTTTGCGACAGGTGCCACCCCTGGGGCAGGATCCGCTCATCTTTTCGAGAACAGTTTTTGAAAATAATTCATGGACAGATGCTCATGATACAGACGACAATGTCTACAATAGATCAATTGAATATAAAGTGAATTGACTGAGTGCCCAAATCACTATGGAGTAAAACTCCTTGATCACAATTCATAATTTGATTAATAGCATAACTAAGACCAAATGGTGACTGAGGATAAGGGGAGTCAGGTGGATTAGTTTGTATATAAATTATACATGTAATTAAGTAATAATGTGACCAATGCCTTTACGAGTGAGTGAGTGAGTTAAACTTTAAAGTGAGATCGGCACTATTTCAGCCATATCGTGACTGTCAAGGGTTATACATAATAAATACAGCGCAATACCTTTTCAGTGTTAGCCTTAGAAAATCTAGGGTAGCACTTGCAAGATTCCGATGTTCATCACACGATCTTTTAATTGAAAAAGGTAGATATCAAAATATTCCGAGAGAAAATAGACTCTGTCCACTATGTGACCTAGGATTAATTGAGGACGAGTATCACTTTTTACTAGTATGTCCGCATTATGATGAACTAAGAAAAGTATATTTACCAAAATATTTTCATATAAACCATTGTACATTTAAGTTTAAACTATTACTGACCACTAGCAACATCGAAACCATAAGAAATCTTTCTATGTACATATATCGTGCTTTTATACAAAGAAAATCAAGGAAATTATATGATTGTACCAACTGCTCCTGTAATCATGATTGTACTATAGGCCTGTGGCCTCCTCAGTACGTTGAATAAAGAAATTGAAATTGAAATACATTAAGATTAAACACAAAACTGCCAACGAAGAACAGTAAAATAACTTAATGCCTTTATTCCAGTAATATGATGGCGGTATGTGAATAATCGAGTCTGGATCAGACAATTAAATTATTGACATCATGAGCATCAAATCAACCAAACAATAAGTCACCGAGTCTGACACCCCTGTCAGTTTAGAAGCAGGGCCAGTCCAATTTCCGTATGCCTTCACGTCGGAGAGGGGGCACGGGTGGCCCAGTCGTCTAAGGCGCCGCGATTCGCTCTGCAGAGTTGCGTCCCTTGGGCACGCCAGAAACCTATGATTGTGGGTTCGAATCCCGGTTCACCCCGATTATGTTTCTAGGTTTGTCAGCACCATACCCGTGCTCGTGGCTTTCACCGAAGTGGTAAACGTCTGAGACCTGCATCACTTCGGGCTTTCCTCCCACATTAAGCTGACACGCCGTGATATAACTGGAATACTGTTAAAAGCGGCGTTAAACCCAACTCACTCACTCACTCTCGTCGGAGATAATCGGTGATGACCTGGGCACGATGTGGTCTGGCATTGTCATCTTGCAGTTCACAATTTCTGCTGATGACGCTAGCGAATGGAAGAACCACAGGGTGCACAATTTCGTCCAGGTATCGCTGGCCAGTCAAATGTCTGAAACAATATCTGAACCCAGAAAGCTATACCTAAAAGAACATAGTATGAAACAAACGAACAACCAACAATGGTATTCACTATTGTGGTTGTTCAATATTCAATGACAGTATATAATATGCGTGTGGTGTTAAACAACAAACTTGCTAAAAAGAACATGAAGCATAAAGGCATTAGTTACATACATGTTGATCAGACTTCAAAGCTGCGACTTTCTTTGTCCAATATTGATCTTTGGATCATAAAATGGATAGCTTGAATCTCTTTGTCGTGGGTGAATAACCGTGACGCTGGGAAAGGAAGCATTTAATTAACGAGAGTAAGTTATTTCATGGAGGAGTAAACCCTTGGGGGATACACATGACGAAGAGAGATCTAGTAATTGCCGTATCACGGGAACACGTGTATAAGCAGGGTATGAAACTCCAAAAAATTTCAGCCAGACCACAGGACTGGCTAGCTGAAATACTTGCCAGCCCTGACCAAAACCTGCCTGCCCACTATAATCATATGTTTCTCAGGATAAGCTAACGGGGTTTCTTTTTGGTTACATTTTATCATTCATCTTTACATGTGAATTAATGCTTATCATCGGGAAATATTTAGAATATTTTCACATATGAAATATAACCCGACCGTCGGGCAGGGGGATTTGAAAATCTGGCAGCCCGAGTTGAAATCAACCCGTCTCGGACGGTCGGACAGGCAGGTATTTCGAACACTGGTATAAGTGAACGCTTAAGTATAATTGCTATTTTCATTCAATATATTTGATTTTTAAGTGCATTTTTGTAACCAGAATCCGAGGTATCAGGAGAATATTGCAACATTGAAACTGTATATTTGATATAATCCGATTTATCAGCATTTACACATAGCCACAATCTGCAGCAGCAATTCGTCATCCAGCATCCTTTGCAGGTTTTCTTTGATTGGACTGGGCAGACCCATATCGTCTGTGTACAGAAGTAGAGAAACATCTTCAATACCTCTCCCTTCATTCAGTTTTTCGAGTTCCTTCGCCAAGTCGTTATATAGATAGAAAATACTGTGGCGACAGAATACAGCCTTGTCTCACTCCTCAGGTGACATTAATGAAAGACGTTGACTCACGGCACTTGATGTATTGTCGCACAGAGCCCGTATCTCAGCGAATATGTTCTCGGTGATACCCACTGGTCTTCGCTTGAGCCGAAGACAATTTCTATGAACGTTACCAAACGCTTTCTTTTGGTCAATGAAATACACAAAGGTCTCTGTTTTAAAGTCAAATCTTCCTTTAAGTACATTATACAAATTGTAAACATGATCACAGCAAACTGTTTGATAAGCATTACTTAGAAGTTGACGGATGACAAGGTAGACACAACTTTATAGAAAACAACATAAGAGAATCAAAGAGCACAAAACCTCAACCATTAAATCAGACAGTAAATCTGCCATCTCGGACCACATCAGCAACTGTCCTAATCACATCATCCTCTCCAACAACCTCCATGGTTTCACAAAAAGATGCAGTCCACATTCGCCGTCACAAGCCATCAATCAACAGAGATCAAGGCCATTTCATCTCATCCGCCTGCTATGAACTCATCAAGCAATAATCACTTATCCTGTTTAATTGGCTTCATGTCCCACTGGCTTCCAACTATGTGTTCTCTGTCCATCGTGTTGTGACAGTATTATCCTTTTGCTGTCAACACTTACTCATGTTATCTCACTCATGTATGCAATTGTTGTTACTCTTAATCCCCTACTGTTAATCCTCCACCTACTATATATATTCTGTACTATGTCCCTCTTTCAGTCTTGCTTGACAACGGTATAAGGATCTTTTTAAAGAAGTTGTTATCCATACAATTGTGTCAACCTTATGATCAAAACAGTTTTTTCTTACGACATCCATTCTGTGAATTAACTATGACCTTTCCCCTGCCTACCGGACCAAAGGAGGGTGCCGTTTCACGAAA